AATGACTAGTAAAATATATAGATATGTATAGGCGGCACGCCTCAAAGACGCAATCATTATCATGACAATTTCACAAAATATACAGGCGGCATATTTCAATCGCGCAATCATTATCATCACCATACAGGCGGCATATCTCAATCGCGCAATCATTATCATCCCAATCGTCACAACTTCACAGGACTTTATAATTCTTTCAATTTATCTCAAACTAAAATAAACTGGCGTGACGATTTTAGATCTAGCTTAATCAATTCTGCGATAGCATCTACTTACGCAATATATTGTGACAGAAATAAAGCTTGACTCTAGTTTTTATATTATTTTATCATCTTTGTACACATTCATAATGACGAGCATTGATGTTAAATTATCCATTATTTTAATCTTTTAACTATTATAGTAATTGATCATTTTATATTTAATTGTAATTTCCTTTTTTTACTTATATTTTGGCTTATGAAGAAATAAAAGAGTTCTCATTATTATTATTTTTATTGTTGTTGTTGTTATTATTACTTTTCACTGATCAGGTTGACTTTGCGATCAAATTAGTTGGAGGTGGAGTTCTGGGAAGGGGGTGTGTCCAGGAAGAAATGAGGTGCCAATCGTTCATTATAATATGTTAATTTATGTTAATGAGCCAACGTTTTGATTCACAGATTTTTGATATGCCCTGATCTCATTGTGGCCAGGCTCTTCACAGAGGAGTTGGATGACAACGAGTGCCTCTTAGTCACCGGTATATTATAGTAATTTATTCGGTGGTTTAATTGCCGTTGAAGTTACTGGGTTCGAATACAAACAGATTCCCGTCTATCACGTGCAGTGTTTGTGTGTGTGCGTGATGCGAAGGTTCATGTGTAATTACGTGGGCTGTTAGTGTGCGTACGTGTGTGTTTGTATGTGTGTGTGTGTGCCTGTGTGTGTGTGCTTGCGCGTGTGTGTGTTTGTGGGAGTGGGGAATAATTGAGAGATAATAAATAATGATAAAAAATAATTAATTGTATTATAAATATAATTAATAATTAAAATTATCATAATTAATTATTGTAGAATAATTATTTTTATAATTATAATTATGAACCAAGGTGCGGAGAGGTTCAGCAGCTACGAGTGCTACTCGCACACGTTCAAGTGGTCGAGGCCTTATCACGATGCAGCTCTTTTGTTAGAGTTTGCTCTTTTTACACACACACACGCACGCACACACACATACACGCACACACACGATTGCAATCAGTCACCAACAGATTTAGCATACATTTTTTTGGCTTTCTTTAAATGAAGATAATATGTGAATTACGATTAGAATCAAGTGACCAATCAATCGCATCATTTAATAAATGAATGAATTAATTAACTAACACTGATTAATATTAATTGATATAATATTGATTGTTATAAATCGATAATAAATAAATTATGTTAATTAATTGATCGCGACCGCCAACCCAGCGACAAACACGGCAGACGACTAACGCAGGTTGTGGCCATGGACGCGCTGCACTTCACCGAGGAAAACGAACAGCTCACAGAAGAGAAGACAGCGCGGGAACTGAATAAGGCAATAATTACGTCATGAATAAATTATGATAATTTTATGGCGGACAAGCTGTTATAATTATTCCTTTTTAACATTACGTCATCAACTTCATGACATCACACAGGCGTATTGTTCATTCATGGACTGCACCTATTCACCCCCAAAACATGCACCCCCGTCGCCAAGCATAATTTTATGGCGGACAAGCTGTTATAATTATTCCTTTTTAACATTACGTCATCAACTTCATGACATCACACAGGCGTATTGTTCATTCATGGACTGCACCTATTCACCCCCAAAACATGCACCCCCGTCGCCACTGGCAACTGGGGTTGCGGGGCGTTTAAGAGAGATAAGAAGTTGAAATGTGAGTGGGGTTTTTTTGTTGGTCTATTAATTTTTCATTCATTTGTTGATTTAGTTAGCCAATCGTACGAATGTTCATTTGTTCTTCTGTTTTTTATTACTTCAATTCATTCGTTTCTTCATTTT